GTCTGATAATGATAACAAACTCTGTTTCACATTCAGGCAAAATTATGGATAGGTTGGGAGTATTGTTTCGCATTTTAATATTGAAGTGGATTTTTCAGAAATGGTGCTAGTGAACTTGTTGTGTACCAGCCAGGTTGAAAGCAGAAAGTGAAATCATTTTTTCAGATCTGAGTGGACACAACTTCTTCCCCTACTACTTGGGAGTCATCAAACTTCATTCATCAAACTTCATTTCTTCTAAGTCTCCAGCAAACACTGCAGCCTCATGGTTTTGTCAATACAGCTTACTCCTTCCTGCTAAGGTTGTCAAGTATTAACGAATATTTCGATCTGTTTGATTTTTCTGCATGGATGACATTCAAAACTATCTTCTGAAATTATTTTCTCACATGCTGGGTTATTCATTGTACATAGTCAACCAAACTTATAGTTTTCTGAGACAACAGTCAGTACATAATTACATCATTCTATTTCATAGTTTTTAAACTTCCTGGGGATTTTTTGTTTTTGAATTTTTGTTGCGGCATAAGTTAATACAAAAAAATCCTATTGTTGAAAAATCGCTCCTTGCACATTTATAAGAATCAGTTAAAAAGTAATTCAGGATTTGTGATGTAGTTGGCCGTCACTTGATGAAAATCTATAACGTATACATAAACAACAAAACAGTTAACAAAATCGCAACACGTGTTTCGCTATACAAAAGCTTCCTTTAGCATTTTATCTAATTGATGACTAATAATTCAACCAGAGTTTAAGAATCAATTAATTGAGCATTATAAAAAAACTAAAAAAACTACCTACGACCTTTGGCCAAAAGATTGGTCTAGACATTCATGAAAGTACTCCTTGGTTCTTTCATTCTTTGGAAAAATGTTTTACCCTTTTGACCCATATAAAGTTTTGGGCGAGAAGCACTAGCCAAATTATATACTTCTGATCTATACGAAATTGAAATTTTGCCTCAATTATTATTTGTTCTATAAGCTACGATAAGCTGCCAAGCTCTGCTTGGTAGTGGAACTAGTGGAAAAACTCCAGACCGGACATCACCAAAAGATGGCAAATGAGACTTTGCCGAAACGTTGTGATAATCATTTATGAGGTAGTGTTATTCGTTCATACTCCTTATATACTGTATATACTCCTATAGTATATATAAAAATTTATACATACTGAAATAATAATATTCATACCCCGTTCAATTCAAAATAATCCAAATGATTTGAAACAAATTTGAGTAAGTAAATTTTGAATTCAATTTTCATGTATCCATTGCTCTTTGGACGATATATGTCACTTGAATAATTAATAATTTTATATATTTCATCACACAATGGACTTAATTGAAATCAGTGAATAATTGCTTTCGAAATAAAGTTGTCTGCCGTTTTAATTAATTACCCCGTTCAATTCAAAATAATCCAAATGATTTGAAACAAATTTGAGTAAGTAAATTTTGAATTCAATTTTCATGTATCCATAAAATGAAGAATAGATAAACTTCTGATTCACTACTATAAGTTGGGGGGTAGGTACTGCATAATCCCAATAAAGATAATTTTCTCGAGGAAAAATGTGTTTCAGGTGATTTATCGTAGGTGATTTATGAGTAGGTACTAATGTTGACGTTTCGGAGTCCAAAATCTGCGTCTATCATCTGAGTTCAAAAATTGGCAGTTCTTATAAGAATGGAAAAGTGCCATACGAAAGACCAGCGGAAGACATTTTTAATTCTAAAGGAGACAGAAGTTCACAATTACAATTTGTTATTTTTCTCAGGTGTGAGAGTTGAACACTCTCGAGAAGGTCATTAAAAATTCAAAAGGGATTATGAATAATGAGTACCAACCGTCTCATAATTATTATGTATTAAAAGTATAATAACATTAAAGAATTTGCACATCTTATCATCGAAAGCTCTTTGGAGAGATTCATATTTGTGATGTAGAAATTCACTCACAAGAATTCACAAACTGAACCCAGAGTAATGATTTGTCATACAAAAAATGCTATGAAGATTTTGAGCGAATTTTCTTTCAGACTGTCTAAAGTACTGTTGATGAGGAGTAAAAGTGATTTTATATGTGGCTTTGTATATCAGTTCCTATTTATTCATCACGTTATATACGAATAAAGTTTCAGTTTTCAGATTTATGGTGAGACGGAAAAAGTGATTACTATTTATTGAATATTGCTACTCGTAGATATTTCTTGATTGTTATTTTTTTTTCTCGCAAGTTTTCATCGTTTCTGCTTATTAATGGAAAAATTAGAAAGTACCTTTAATATTTTTCAAACTCTGAATTATATTAGCTAACCATCATCATGAAGAATATTAGTGTTCAGGTCGTGTAAGTAATATATACTCCATGTTTGATATGAAAAATCGAAGGTTCTCATGTTTTCAACCACCAGACAAAAACTCACGCTTCCCATTATTATAATCAACAACTTCGTACAATTTTCCAGTTCACGAAGTTCGCATATAGATTATGCACGAAAGCCAGTAAAAATGCAAATTTTTACACATATTGCCATACGAGATCATACCTTCATGGATTCACACGTGAAACTCTGAGCGTGCAGATTCATAATATATACAAGGTGCGAACGAGGTATTTCTCGTAGCATAAACTAAAATTCAAATTGTTCTTCAGAAAACAATATACAGGAAGCCAGTGCTGCAATCAGGAAACAACTCGGAAAAATACAATAAATCAGAAGACGCATCTTCTGATCGATGACGTGAATATTCTTTATGCCGGTTTGAATTATTCCAACAAATATACTTTAATTTAACTTAATTTAATTACGTAAATACAATGCATTTTTGTAGCAGGTCCAGAAAGATGAATATTTGTGAGGTCCTGTAATAGGTCTAAACTCCACATGAAATCAATAACATACTATGTATACAACATGGACCCACTACTGTACATAATATGTATTAAAATCAAATTATATTGAACAGTACTCCTACTACTTCAGGTATTACTACAACTACGCATATCGCTGACAGTTGAATAGAAACCATTTTCTAAAATGAATCTGTTTGATATTTTTTTGAAGCAAGGCATATCAAGAATCTTCCAACTGGATGGTTATTGTAGAGGGCAATATCTGTGGAATTATTCCTCTAAATCTCTGTAGTCTGACATGTCTAGCACCGCGAGTGTTATATTTATGAAAGTTTGAATTTTTACTTAGTTCATTCTTTATACCATGAATTTCTAGTACTTAGTGGAAAATATAAAGAGCAGGTAGTGTCATGACTTTGAATTTCTGGAATAAAGGTTTACAATGGTCTCTGAAGGCAACATTAGCAATAATTTGGATGCCTTTTTTTTTGAAGCCTAAATACATTGACAGAGTCTGATGCATTACCCCATAAGAAATATGCGAGTGAAAAAAAGCCTAGTAGATATTCATTAGTATGTCAGAACTTATTATATTTTTTAGTTGTCTCAAAATGAAAATGGAGCTTGAAAGTTCTGAGCAGAGCTTCCTGATGTGAATCGTCCAGTTCCGAGAAGGATCTAAAAAATTCCTACAAGTTTTGTGGGTTCATTGGTACTTGTTGCTGTGAAGAAAAAGTTAAATGATTCGTTTTGCTTGCGTTGAGTTTCAAACTGTTTGCTGCAAACCAACATTCTTTTTTTTTCAGAAGCTTCATTTATTCTCTCGTTTATATTTGATGAAAGATAGAGGTGTCATCTGCGAACATAATACAGGTTAATACATTTATCTTCTCGTTTATATTTTGATGAAAGAACATAATACGAACATAATACAGGTTGAGTCAACTAGATGCTAAAAGTCGTTTACGTAAATGATAAATAGAAGGGGCCCCAGCACAGAGCCCTGCGGTACCCCGTATTTCATTTCTTCACTTTGCGGTCATCGAAAATTATTTTGTGAACTTTTTTGATATTTTCGTCGGTAACAGTCTATTTGGGGCGTCCACTGCGTGCATCGTCCTGGGTTCTCATTTCACCTCGTTTGAACACAGCAAACCACTCTCAATGGTTGATTTTCCTCGTGCAAAGTCCGAGTAATGTTTTTCAAGTCAAGCTTTGGCTTCATCATTTTTTTAAGCCAAAAAGCAATACATGATTAACACACGAAAATCCTTCAAAGTAACAAAAGTCGTCTCACTCAAATTGTTCTACCCCACAAACTAATAGTCCGACAGCTGTGAAATTTGTACACGTGTCATCGGAAGGTTGGTGTTAACTAAGAATTATAGTAGGTCCGTTTCTCGTGATGAAAAAATTCTGTTCTATTTTTCCGTTAACAGGCTGTCGTCCCTCTATGAATGACAACCGTCAGAAGTCGAAACTTGGCCGAACTAAGAATTAGCGAGGTCTTACCTTATAGCGAGCGATTTATAGCACGCTAGTTATTCATATCAAATAAGTATTCCTGGAATAAATCCAGGTGGGTATGTGAAAAATGTATTTTCAGCGTCATACAAGCACCGATTCTCTTGTAATTCAGCAACAGTTTCGGGAACATTTGCCTGAAGTTGTAATTTTTTGGTTTCCTAAGGAAATTATGAACGATGCCCAATCTGCTTTTTCTGTTTATCAGATTCCACGTATTAAGTCTAACGGAAATTCATTACTTTCTGCATAAAATCACTTATACCCTCGGTTCATTTATTTTACGAATAGAAGTTCAAGCTTCTCTCTTTATATTAAAAAAAGGTAGATGAATTGCAGGGGTTATATTTTTAGGAGTGATTAATTTTTGGGAAAGGAAGTTTTTGGAGTAATAGAAAGCAAAAAACTTTCTTTCCTGAAAAGGTAGATGAATTGTTGATAGTAACGATAAATACAATCGATGTGTTGAAAGTTGGGCCAGTTGTTCTATCACCTTATCAACAGAGGTAGAAAGCAAAAAGATGTTTTAAAAGAATTATCTTTGTCAAAAATATCCTCTTTTTCAGTTTAAATCAATTTCAATGTTTATTCTAATATCGATTATTTTTGTTTCAGTTCTCAGTGAGTTAGAAGGCCTTTCTCGGGGTGGAAAAGCTCCCACCCCGGATTCACGGACTTCTCTAGATCCTCAACATATTATAAAAGTTGCCGGTTCTGCCAAAAATGCACTGGATTTCCTCAAAACAAGACACTCGTCTCTCAAGTGCGTAACGACGAAAGGAGCGGTATTGGCTTCCACAGCGTTTTCCACGGAGGACGACACTACATGGGATAACAGTCTCACCAACGATGACAAAATCTTAACAACTTGTCTAGTACTTTGCAAAGGATACAAAACCCAGCCACATGAAACGACTGAAGGTAATTGACATTATACGGGCAAGTTGGAAATGTCAAATGGGGGGAACTCATTTTTTAATCAATCTCTCATAGTAATTAATCATTTTCATCATGCGTCCAACAATGATATTATGGTAATTTCTGTTTATTTTACAAATAGGTGCTGTAGAGCATTGGCTACGAATTTGCCTTCCTGTTACTGAATTGGTTCACCTTTTAGAGATTTTGTTTTTCATTTAGTAATTTATTACTTTTTCCTTAACTTCAGGCTTTGAAATTTCCTCAATAAAGTTTATACTATGCCAGTACTGTCTCGTCTTACGGTGAAAAAATTTGATCCCTGATCCCAAAACGTCAGCATAATTGAATATAGATAAAACTAACGATTCACACAAATTCAACTTCACCTTCATGGGCAGGAAATGCCGGTGTCCATATATAATTTCAAGGGAACAATATGCAAGCATAATAAACCTATTAACCTGATTTTCGAATTTCAAGTCCTTATCTAAAATGACGCCCAGGCTTTTGGCTTCTGGGACAACATGATCATTTACTACTATTTTAACAGATTTGCAAATATTTCTAGAACTTTCTAGATCATTTCAGGTGGGAAACTATAATGCAACTGGGTGTCGTCTGCATACAAATGCATATTACAAAATTCCAAACGTTTAGCAAGTTGAGATGTGTAGTTGGCAAACAAAAGGGGTTCCAAAGTAAAACCCTGTGGGACTCCACATATCAGCTTTAAATATTGGTCAAACAGTTAAATAACAAAAATACTTTTTCATCAGCTCGTTCCTGATCAAATACATCAAAAAGAAAGAAATACTGTAAAGGTCTCTCTTCATTGAAATATTTGAAATCCATAAATTCATGACTTTCAATCGGCATTCACTGTTTAGAGTTTGAATTGACTGACGGTTTTTTTTTCAGGCGAACCCCGCCATCTTGAGCGGGAAGTAGTACTTTTAACCGATGACAGGAATTTGCGGGTGAAAGCATACGCGAGAGATGTTCCTGTAAGAGAACTGCCCGATTTCATGCGTTGGGCGGGGCTGGGATGAACGTGAAGAAAAAACTAACAATCTTGCCTGCGCAGCTGCTCTCTCTATTACAAACATCATGATCCTGAAGTCCGGTAAGTCATTTTTTAACAGTAATTTTTCTTTCATTACTAGAAGCAATATTATGCTGGTAGTTAACTCTGATGTACGGAAGCAAAGAAGGACCACAACAGTCTTTTTTATTTTTTCGACAGAACTCGGAAATTTCGTCTGAAAATTTACAACATGGAAATTTCCACTTGATAACGATCAGGTTAGGTTTGGCTTTTAAATTAGGTTGGGTTATTTTGTGACAATGTCTGTATTCTCAGTTGAAATTCGGAATTTCGGAGTCATATGTTTGAAAAATATAATTCTGACTGCAAAGTCGGAATTTTTGAGTTATATGCTAAGAATGTATGTGCTAACATGAAATCGGAATTTCCAAGTTTCAAATATGAGTTTCCAGATTTAAGGACGGAATTTCCGCATTTGAATCCGGAATAATGTAATTCCGACTTTCCCACTCGTTATTTCCGAGTTATTTATTTCGGAATATATTTTCGAATAAGTTGGAGAAATACAATTTCGAATTCGGAATTTCTGAGCTACTAGTCGGGGTTTCCGAGATGAAAGTCGAAAAAAATCTCATTTTAAGTCAAAATTTCCAATGTCGAAAAAAACATTTTCGAATAATAAAGTAGGATTCAAGTCACTCTTCATTGTGAGATTTTCACTCAGCAGTTTACATAACGGCAACACGTTTTTCACTATTAGACCGGTGGATGGTAAGTCATTTCTTACAGTAAGGACTTTTCAGGGGAGTTCATATACGTAATTAGTGAAAGGAAAATGATGTCCTTACCGGTGGTGTGTGGGACGCAATTGCAGAATAATTGATTGAAATTGCTCAAAAATTTGGAGTGTCAAACAATTTCTTTCACAAAATGTCTTGACTTCATCGGTATCCGGCGCTCGCTATATGGCATACTTCTTCGGTAGGTGTTTAGGCTAGCCATACCTTTTTGAAAATGTTGTTTTATTTTTAATAATCTTGTACAAAAATCACCACGCCATACCATTCCGCCGGTCCAAAATACCCGTCATACCTCCCTGAAACATGTCATTTTCCAAATTCGAAAAACTACTTCTTTCAGTAGCTCATTTAAATCGTGGCCAGTTTATGATACTGTAAGACAAAATTATATTCGCCATACTTCTAGTGCAGTAGAAAATTGGTGCCATACTTGAAAAATTGTATTTTTCAACCCTTTTTACGTCTATAGAAGCCGTAAAATTATTTTTACAGTATGGCATGAATGAAATCAGATTGTTTCATACTGTGACCATGGTGCGAAGGACCGTGATACGCACGCTGCGATGTAAAAATAAAATAAAAAATGAAACGATTTCTTACATACGGAAGCGCAGAAGGGCCACAAATTNACAGTTCAGTTCAATACAATATATCAATAATCTATATATCTGTTTGCTAACAGTGATACATCGGTATTTAAAAGGTTTTCAATTTTCATTTTTCTTCGATTATTTCCGTGACTACTACTATTTTTTTAGTTCTTTCTTGAAAGTAAAAATGTTTTGATGTAGGTTATTGATTTGGAAATAGATTTATATACTTCAGGCGCAGTGTATCTGTATGACCTTTGACCAAACGATTTAGCCATGTGAGGTACTATATGTTGATTTTTCTGGCGAGTTTCGTAATGGTGAGTAGGTAGCTGTGCCTGATTCCGCGAAGTATGATATTTCAAACCAGTTTTCAGATAGTACAATTGCCTTGGATCAAGGATATAACTTCCATTTAAAAGCTGGTCTGAAGGATATCTGTTGGTTTTTGACAGCATTATTCTCAGAAATCTTTTTTGAATGGTTTCCAGAGGCTTAAGATGAGTTCTCAGTGCGTCGCCCCATACCAAAATAGCATATCTCAAATGACTTTCTACCAAGGCGTGGTAGAAGCTTTTCAGCTGGTCATATTTCAGTATTTTTTTCAAATATTTGAATCTGTATAATATTTGTAGTTTTTTAATAATATAAGTGATATGGTGATTCCACTTTAAATGACAATCGAAGAAGACGCCCAAATAGGGAATGTGTTTTGATTTGTTGCACGTGAATGTCATGTAATTCGTTTTTTCTAAATTTACTGTAAGAAGTTTGTGTTCTAACCAGGTTTTAATACAACTAAAGCCTTTTTCTGCTTTTTTCTTAAGAGAAATCTAGCTCTCTTCTTCATATGATATGGCCGTGTCATCAGCAAATCCTAGAATATCCCCACCACTCTCTAGCGCAAATAAACCCTTTATATACTGAAAAGAATAGGATCATTCTGACAATTCTGAAGGGATATTTTCACAAATAAATACTCATAACAACGAGTGATGCAACACTATTATTATCTTTCTTCTCAAATAATACTAAAAACTATTCTTTTTTACGTTTGTTCGACCTTGATATTTTGTTCCTTCCGCACTGTATAGTATTACTTGGGTATATATCAAGCTGTTCCAAAGTTGTGTCAAAAATAAAAGTCAAAAGGTGATCATTTGAACTCTCTCAATTTGTGATGAAAATTCAGTTGAAGAGTATAGTTTGAATGTAGAATCATTTTCGAAATGTATATTTTTCGTTGTCGAATAATGAATCGGCCCAATTCCTAATTTTTTTTCGTGATTTTTCCAAAAGAAACACACTATATATTCTAACTCGCGTGAACTCCCATTGAAGAGCGTCCGCTTTAGTTCCAGCTAAATTGTGTACACCATGTTTCCCAACAATATACATTAAAAACTTCAGATGAAAATTCTGGAAGTAAATGTTCAAGTGACCAATCCAATTGCAGAAGTAAAAAAGGAAAAAACAGAGACCCTATCTTTTCCATGATAATAAATTAATTTTCACACAAATGACTTTACTGAAGCCGCGTTTCGCTATATAGTAGCTTCCTCAGTCGAACTGGTACATTAAACTACTTTACAATGCGATTTATACAAAAGTTATTGCAGAACTCAATTAATTGATAACGATCATTCTTGCTAAACAGGTAGATTTCAGGAAAAAGTAATTTCCATATAATATTGATTCTTGGAAAGCAGAGAAAATTCAAACAGTGATGATGATAAGTTTAATAATGGTGAATGGTCAACTTTTTGTTGATCATTTGATAGGGATTTTTTTTCGTATTACCAGGGATTCGTATTACCAGGGATTCCAAGACAGCAAGAGCCTCGCAAGGAAGAGAAGCCATCACAACCAGTACTTACACTTCCCTACATCAGGGGATTGTCGGAAAGGATAAAAAGAATTGGGTCCAAGGACAACATCAGAACCTTCTTCAGATCCGGAAACACCATTCGTAGCTGCCTCACGAAAACCAAACGCGGACTGCGATTCCAAGAATTGCATTTTCCGAATACCTTGCGAGAGCGGAAAATCCTATATCGGTGTAACTGAGAGGCCATTGAAAGTACGCATTGCCGAGCACAAGCAACACAAGTGGTTTCAAACTCATATCATCCAAAGAGAAAAACATTGGTTGAAGAGGAAATTCAAAGAAGTCGCCTATATGTTGTCCATCAACGCATTTAGGCAAGCTATCGTAGAAATACGCAACATATGGAAATCCATAATCAAGCTGAAAACGGTCAACTCCCGTCAAACGGTCATCTCCCGCTCACCGGTGAAGCGTAGAGAGGCAAAAGGGGATAGGTGAAAGCGCTCGAGCGACCTTTAAATAGTCATCCCTCCAAGGAATATGTCCAGTCATCACTCGAATACGATGGTGGAGTCTAACAATAGAAATGTCGTGAAGTAACTTGGCTTGAAATCTTTCAATTTTTATTTCAATTGTCAATGGTTGCTTGTATTTAATTTCAATGTAATTTAATTTCGAAGTTTTTTACTTATAAATATTTGTTATTTTCAACTATTCATTTAAATTTCATTGATTCTTTCAGGGATTTTGAATCATTTTATATCATATTATGAAATTCACTATGAAATATTGTCAACCACCTTCAAACAAACATGGACAGTGTTTTATCAAGTGAGGGATCAGTGGATTAATGATTATAGATCCTATTTCGATAGGGACACAAAAGATGTTACAAGAAACTCCTAAAAAAACTATGAACATTCCCATAGAAAAATAATCTACATAATAATCAAAATAACCTATATCATCAACTAGATTTATTCGGCTTTGAGGGTACTGAAAACTTTCTCAGGTTAGCTATTTATAAAATAACATTCACATTTTCGTGTTTTTCAACTTTGAATCTCTCGATATCTGTGAAACTACTAGTTAGGTAATTATAAACAAACATTTTCAATAAAGTTGTGTTGGGAATTTGATTCCATGTTATTCAAGTTATATCTTCCGAACATCTCTTTAGAGAATATCACATGTAGAATTGAATATAGGATATGACATTTGAAAAAGACCATAACAATTTTTACCCTGTTTCGATACCCCCAGTGTAAGAAAAAAATTATCAAATTATTCGAAAACAAAAAAATTTCAAAATGTCCTCATAATGAAACAGATTCTTCAACTAAGTTTTCATAAGAAATGGGGACGATTGGAGATATGAACTTTTTGATATTATTGTCAGCGTTACTTACGAACCATCCGTTATATACACATACAATACATCAACCTTATAAATTGAAAGGAGTATATTTCTAAGAGAAATTTTGGCTTTCTACTTCGGAAGTATTATTCTTTCGTGTAATTCAGTGTTTGTATTAAATTAGCTCTTATGAGAGGGTTTCTTCTTCCAGTTTGTGTTTGAAAGTCATTTCATGCAGGATCTACAACAATTTCTATAGAGTAATTTTTTTTTAATTGATTGCTTTCTTCATTTCTTTCAAAGATTCCCACATTTTTTGTACAAAGATGAAGAAGTAGAAAGCCAAAACATTTCTTTCCCAAAAATACAACCCTATACTCATTTAACCAACAGGAGCCAATCGCACATTTATGGTTCTGGTTAGGAGACCTATCATGTATAAGCAACAACCAACCTGAACACGTAGGCAGCTATAGCTACCTGCGTGACATATAGGTCCGAATTAAAAATATACAGAAAGATGTTAACGAATGTATCTGATGTAGATCACGTGTTTCTGGATATTGGCTTCGTCAACGCGGTGCAACCAAGTGCACCAATGGTTAACACTTGTTTGCCAAAAAGCTACACACACGCACGGAGCTACCAACAGGCACCTATTCACGATAGGTCTCCTAACCAGAACCACAAATGTGCTCTTGGCTTCTGTTGATTTTGCCCCATTTTCGACTGTTGTGTCTGCTTATTCACCTCTTTTTGATCTATATCAGATACATTCGTTAACGTTGACACGTCAGGTTTCTATTGGGTATTCTGAATATGGGTAAATTTTTTTTAAAAAGCCAGTTCGAAGAAACTTTTTATGACCCCAATACTTTTTTCAAACTTATAATGGAAGCTCCATGTGACAAACACTCTCCCTTTGAAATCGTAATCGCATCTAACTCAAACTTTTTCTTCTGAACTGGACACTGAAATATATTTTCCGTCAGCTGGTTCTTCAAGTTTTTCCTCAGATACATACCTTTCTATCATTCAACCTAAACACGTCGGTATTTAATGAATTGAAACAAATTTAATATACTCAGACAATTTGGCTCAACTTTAAATAGTGTCTTTATCACCATCACAAGTTAATTATGAACAAATGTCAATCATTCTGGGTAGGTGATTTGAAACATTGTTGTCAATAACCATTTGTGTTTCTTCTGTATCTACAGTCCGTAAAAGTCAAAACTTGTAGAAACTATGTGTTGATTTACGTTTTTAATCTCAGCACAGCCAATGATATTGCATAAAATCTAATTAGTAGTTGGTTACCCATCAAGTGCTAGCCCAGAAACCATATATCTAGAATTGTAACCAAGTTGACGTCACCAACTGATAAACAGTTTAGAACATTTCCTGGCGATGCATACTTAGTTACTGTTCAGATATGCCGAAGAAGTGTTATTTGAAGATTGTTTATTCAGTTCAAGAGGAAATATTGAAAATTGCTTGAGTTTTCCATTTTTCGAATCTTTGCTTCTATTTCGTTTGCCTTGAAAAAAAGAAGAGTCTAAGCCTGGGCAATAGACTTGAATGACTTTTTCTGGAAGAAGACTGATGAATATTTTGAATATTTTAGAGATCTTGATTGAACTTGTACATTTTTCATTTAATGCTAGCTCATTTTGCATTCCAAAAAAATCTTTGAATCTGTTATCAATTACCAATTGCTATCTGAACCCATCTCCATTCAACAGTTCAGATCTCTTCAATGTGACTTCCCTTGGGATTTCGACCTCTCGATGAAACATTTTTCAATTTTATTTTAGTCTATAAATATAACAGAATTTAGAACTTTTCTTTATAATTGAGTTTTTCGCCTAAGCGAGCAAATGGTTCTCTTGCAAAGTAGGTCTACTCGGGATTTGATTGAATCATACATTATAGGTTTGGATTTTCATCATCTGAAAAGGTCAGCGAATATGAAATCTATGAAAAGGAATATGAAATGTTGAAAATTGATAATAATACTAAAAATAAGTGGACCGAAACATTCGAATGAGATGGTTCTCATCTTTGATAAGAACGCATCCGAATATTATTATTTTTCGTATTATTGATATTCTTATTATTTCATTCATTTGAATCTTATCTTTCTCATCGTTTTCAAATCTGTTGACACTTTTAGGCAATGAAAGGTCGAACATGGAACATCTATTCGTAGGTATCAAATTTTGACAGCATACGAAATGTAGACTAAAACCAAACTTTTGACAAAATAGTCAATAGAGAATTGGATGTAAATAATTATTTTCATATAATCTTTATTTTCAGGTCCCGGCGTGGCGTGTTACGATAAAATGTCGATTGCTGATATATTTACTATTTTCATATAGGACTGACTTTAACATTCATCCATGTCTTTTCTTCAGTCGGGTTGTGTCGCTGCATTCCTTTAGTCATCGTTTTCAATGTATTTGTACAGGGTGACATAGAAATGCTGTTTCTGATAAAAAATTATGAATCAAAGATAGTGACAAATAATTGAAAAATATTTTCTTATATTCAGACTACAGCCTTCCAATTTCCCCCTGTATAAAATAACGTTAAGTGTCACCATATCATGAGTATATTTTTAATTTATACACTTTATATTTGAAAATATAAATACTTTAATTATATCCTAGCTACCCATTTTTGGGGAAACATATAGTTTTAGATTTATTATGTACTTATAGATTTTATTTTTTGAATTAATGTGCCATTTTTACTTGTTCTTTGGCAATCTTTTTACAGTATGGTTTTTATTTTAAAGAACTATTCAACATAATTTAAGGTTTGTATACAAATTTATTTTAAATATAATGCAATTGTTTGCTCAGGAATTTAGATAGAATAAATAACATTATCTTTACATTGTTTTTTTTTATTATCCTAAAAATTCCTCATGGAAAATAAATACTATATAACTGTTATGGGAGACCACTTTGTGTTACATATTTTTTGAGGTAAGAGTTCGGCTCAAGCTGTAGGTTTAAGAAATTTCGATAATTTTATGATTTACTGATGTATAAATAATAAACAATATTTCTGAGGTGACGTATGGTATTCAGAAACAAGATTTGGGCAGAATACAGTGTTAATGGGGGAAGTTTTTTGTAATTGATTGAGATCAACTCGATTTTCATGATAATATTCATTAATAACCTTTTCAACCTCAAATGAACACCATTTAGTAGGGTATAATAACATATATGGTAGGGTATAGTCATCTTCAATGAAATGTGAAGGTGGTGGTCATGAAAGTTTATTTTTCTCGGAAAATTTCCTGATACTTATAATTGTCTGATCAGATATATATGGGAATGTTTTCACATAATATACTTTTTATAACACATTATCTCTCGAACACA